CCACATGTTTATTCCTGTCCGTGTCCTGACCTAACCTGGGGGACTTTGTGAATGCCTCTGACCTGCCCCTCCACAGCTCCCCCTCCAAAACATTAAACTGTTTTCCTGATCTTTGCTCCTTGACTTGTTTGTCTTTCCCTTCATATTTTTCTTTGAACTTGCCACATGTAGTCCTCTCATTGTGTGATTCACTCATTTACCCTCCATTGTTTTTACACAATATTTTTAACATTTTTATTTACACTTTTTGCTTTAATTTCTTTCCATTTCCTCCTGTCTCGTCCTCTTTCCTGCCCCTCTGTGTGTTCCACGGTGTCACTTTGTATTAGAGCTACCCTGGTGTGGACAATGAGATCTCTGTGAGTATCTTATAAACACCACAATGACAAAGTGCCTGGTTTATATTCACTAACAGTTAGCTGCGTCACCCGCCCTGCTTAAATCATTTTTCAAGGCATTGTGCTGAGTGATTGTTCATACTAAAAAAAACAATGCTGTTGTCTTTTTGTATGCGTAGTCTGTGTGATGTGGTTAAAATAAAAATAAAAAAATTGAAAATGCCTCTCCTTTACTCACATTGTGCTCTGTGTCTCCCCCTACAGGTACCTCTTAGACTCATAGAGAGTGTGGAGAGCAGAGACATGTTCCAGCTTCACATTATCTGCAAAGACTCCAAAATTGTCAGGTGAGATGCTTATTTAATGCAGAATGAGGAACCAAACTACGCCCGCCACTTCCCCATTCATTTTTCCTTGAACATTTTGTTACCCCACATAGCTGATTAAGCTGTCACTATTGAGCTCCTTTTCTTTGGGTCTGTATTGGTTTTTGGGCTGAAAAGGAGATTAATAATAAGATAGTTAGTGAGTGCATTTTTGACTGTTTTCTTTTTTGAAATATAACTTGTCTTTTAGATGCCACTTTGCGACATTCAAGCAGTGCCAGGAGTGGGTGAAGCGTCTGAATCGGGCAGTTGCTCACCCGTCCCGTCTGGAGGACCTGTTTGCTTTGGCCTTTCACGCCTGGTGTCTGGGAGGAAGTGCTGACGACGAGGACCAGCACCTTCACCTGTGCCGCCCAGGTGCAGTAATAAGAGACACTACTGGGTCATTGTTTACTGAGCTGCAGACATGAGTATGTAAGTTTAATATGTGTGTATTATGTGCAGGTGATCATGTGCGCCACAGAATGGACATGGAGGTCAGGAGGATGGGTTTCGACACACAGAATGTCTGGAGAGTGTCAGACATCAACTGTAATTACAAGTAAGTTATTTTTTTTTTTTTTAACAAATAACATGAAAATATTTATTGTGGTCATTTAAAATTAATCATTAGTGAGAATTTGCAATTCAGCATTGCATTAATGAAACGAAATGGTGTAAAGCTATTGGATATTTCTTTAGACAGTTTATCTTGCTCAATGGCTATGCAGTTGATCTCTCTTCCTTCCATTTTTATCAGTAGCTCAAATTCTGTTGCCTTCTGTGTAGTTTCTGTGTGCATGTGGGTCCCAGGGGGCATCCTGCTGAGAGAGACAGACACAGGGTGAGCAGCTAATTAAACTGCAGCCGCTCAGGCCATGACTCAGCATTTCCCTCAGACATTCTGTGCTTCACTCTGTGGGACTGAGAAAAAATATAATATAAAAAATATAATAAACAGAGGAGACAGATGGTGTGGTGCTGTTTCACTCAGTGCTCATCAGGTAGTAGTGACCCTGAAAAACAGCATTTGTGTTTGCAGTTTGTGGATGGGATAAAAATAAAGTCTACACATGATCACGCTGTGGCTCTGTGTATGTGCAGGCTGTGCTCCAGTTACCCCCAGAAGATTCTTGTTCCAATCTGGATCACGGACAAGGAACTGGAGAATGTAGCCTCCTTTAGATCCTGGAAGAGGATTCCCGTGGTGGTCTACAGGTCGGTTTAACTATTTTACTAACAATATCCAGCTGCCTCCTATTAGACAGAGGCTACCCTGCTTTAGTGTTATTGAAACTAGGGCTGTCCCAGTTCAAGAAACTCCCATATGGTAACTTTACCTGTGTGCAGTATAGCACAGAGGCCCACAATAATACATGTACATTGGGGATGTATTTGAAAAATATCTATATAAAGACAGACACGTGCAGTGTAATGTAGTTTTACAGATGAGTTACAAGAATATATTATTAGGATCCTCAAGTGAATAACACATAAAGCCTGTACACCCAAGGTAAACCCCGACAGAGGTAGTCCTATATGCAGTGTGCGTACCTTGAATGTCCACATTGAGTCTAAATGGATGTGGCACTTGTCCATGCCTAACTTGGAACAGTGATTATTGACCAAACTGTTCACCAAACCTGTTCTTTCTGACACTGGGTAGTAGTGATGCGCAGCTCAACCTATAACAGTTAACGGTTAACTTGTGGTTAAGCGGGTTAACCACATGTTAACAGTTAACTTTTGTATTTGCATGTGTTACCGGCACAATTATCGCTTATTATCATACAGGTAAACATATAGCAGAGAGAAAAGCTCCTCACCTGGACGGAGACCTCCAGAGCATGCACACGCTGCATCAAGTGCTCCTCACTCCATGATCCAGGTGCTTTAGTTCCAAACTCAACTAAAAGCTTCTATGTGGGATATGTCCAATGAGTGCGTAGGCCATTTGAAACAGCTCATAAGCAGTGCACTTTAGGGTAAATAGTAAAATGAAGGGTGACTTTAACACATTACGTAAACAAAACCGCGTGTTCGCAAGGCGCACCCCCAGATACTAAGGCCAGCTGCAGTGGCACGCCACACATAGTTTTAATGGGCGCAGGTTCGGGTTGGGTCCCATTATTTGAATGCATTTGCTCAAAGCCACATAAACATTAATTGGTTCATAGCAGTAAAACTGCGTGCCGGGCATGTGCATGGAGCCTGATTAAAATGCAAAGTGCGTCTATAGCAGTCACCTGAACCCTCAGGTGATGTGATTGATCATACCGCAGCATTGCAATATTGAGGTTACTGCAACAGCTCTAATTGGAACTACTGTATGCCAGTGATACAATGTCATCTTTTTGTTGTGATATTTTTTGCAGCAATAAGTGACACTTCTAAATGCATTATCGTGACAAGGCTCCTAATGTGGTGACTAATGTGCTAAATACATTACAGACATCAAAGAAATGGGGCAGTAATTGCGCGCTGTAGCCAGCCTGAGATCAGCTGGTGGGGCTGGAGGAACACAGACGATGAGTACCTGGTCACATCCATTGCTAAGGCCTGTCAGATGGACTCTGGAGCCAGAGGCAGCTGCAGCACCACAGGGTGCAGACCGCGGGGGGACACCCATGACTCCTCAGACAGTGATTTTGGTAAACTATCTCTTTGAATCGTCTCTTTTAGTACCATGTAATGACTGTTCTGTGATAATACGTCCATCTCTGCACTTATATCAAAGACAATTATGTTTGATTATGTAATTCCCCAGACTCCTCTCTGACTGGAGGTTCCTGTGAGGACAGTGTTGTGCCACAGAAACTGCTGATTCTAGATGCTCGCTCATACACTGCTGCAGTGGCCAACAGAGCCAAAGGTGGAGGCTGTGAGTGTGAAGGTTGGTGTTCCTTAAATGTAAAAAAAACTACATTTATATTTTATTTGTAGTCTTACAACAAAACATAATTTGTCAGACCTTTTGACATTAAACTCTTACCTTTTAAACATTTCACACTGTGCTGTGTTTTCAGAGTATTATCCTAACTGTGAAGTCATGTTCATGGGAATGGCCAACATCCATGCTATCCGTAACAGCTTCCAGGCGCTGAGGGCTGTGTGCAGTCAGATCCCGGATCCCGGAAAGTAAGTGGATCTGTTTGACCTTTTTGTGCGAGGGATCTCTCCCTCTGTCTGCACCTCACTGTTGAGTTTCACTGTACACACATGAGCAAGTCAGTCATGCACTTAGAGCTGTGCAATTAATCAAATTTGAATTTAGACATTTTTAATTGTCAATGACCATCTTGGGTCTTTTTAACCCACTTTCGGAGCAGAGTTTAGACTTTGGAGGTAGAGTTTTTAGTAGTAATGATTGTAATAAGATAAAATAAAATGGAAAAGTCATGATCCACTAAGGAGGAAAAATATTTTGATGATTTTTGTCTGATGTCACTCAGCCTTACATGTGCAGTCGTCATAACTTTATCTCTCCCTTGAGCAGCTGGCTCTCTGCGTTAGAGAGCACACGTTGGCTGCAGCACCTCTCTGTGATGCTCAAAGCGGCTGCACTGGTTTGTTCGGCGGTGGAGCGTGAGGGCCGGCCTGTTTTGGTGCATTGCTCAGACGGATGGGACCGAACGCCACAGATCGTCGCCTTGGCCAAAATACTGCTGGACCCCTACTACAGAACATTAGAGGTGCGAGGTTAACGAAAATTATGAATGTAACTACAGTTCTATGAATATTTTAAGTGTTTCTTATCATGAACATACTCAGTTATATTTTGATCCGCGCTTATTTGCGTAACCCTGCATTGTTCTGCATTCTCCTGCATTCAAGGCCTTGATGTTCAGAAAAATGCAGTTTTTCACCTACCCCCTAATCCCACCCACTTAACATTGTACTTGCGATTCTTTTAAAAAATCGGACTCCGGGTCATACATGTAGGGATCATGTCATTTTTCAACAATAAAAACTTAAGTAAATTAAAAACTGCTACTGGTTTCAAGGAAATGCCATTATCCCTGTTCTGCTGTTCTGACCAGGAAGTCAATGCACTTTTCTTTTAAGACATGTTAGACCAATATCAGTTTTAGAATGAACAAAAAAGGTATTGTAAGTCTTCTTTAATGGGCTGCTATTTTTCTAGGGCTTTCAGGTGCTTGTGGAGACAGAGTGGTTGGACTTTGGACATAAGTTCGGTGATCGCTGTGGTCACCAGGAAAATGCAGATGACGTGAGCGAACAGTGCCCCGTCTTCTTGCAGTGGCTGGACTGTGTGCACCAGCTGCTCAAACAGTTTCCCTGTCTGTTTGAGTTCAACGAGGCTTTCCTGGTAGGTGTTCCGCCTGCTTCAAGTGCACAGTACATGGTTTAGAAAGGACTTCCTCAAGTTTTACTTTCAAAAAATAAAACTTAATAGTGATCTTTCTTACAACTGGATTTGTGTTTTAAAAAAGTAAAATTCTCATCCGTGCACATTGTAAACAACTCCAGGAGTATTAACATTTGAGAGAAGACTGAAATATGAACTGATAAACTAAGGATTCACATACCTGTTCATTTTTGCCGAGGACATTTTATTATCTAAATATTGATAACTAATTGCGTCAACTCAAATCGCAATTTTGATCCCTTGCAATATATTGTGTAGTCCTAGTATTTTACATGCCTTTTCCTTCTAATCTGTCCTCAGGTCAAGTTGGTGCAGCATACTTATTCTTGTCTCTATGGGACATTTTTGTGTAACAACGCTCGAGAAAGAGAAGCAAAGAACATCTACAAACGCACCTGTTCTGTCTGGTCTCTGCTGCGATCAGGAAACAAGAACTTCCAAAACTTCCTGTACATCCCATGTCATGATATGGTAAGTCATTTCACTCGCACCAACTTTCCAAAGATCTTTGGATTAGATATTTGAAGTAACACCATATGCCTCTTTCTGGTCTCTATTAAAGGGAGAGTCTTTAGCCTGAACTTTTAAAGTTTTTTTTAAAAGGAGCTGCACAGTCACAACTGATCGTGGGTTGCCAGTGCATAACCGGCAGATAATGGGGCATACAGTTTTTCCTCAATATATGTACAGGCCATGCCTCATGTAAAGGCTCAGAACTTCCAGATTTCACTCACTTAACTACAGAAGCTACACTAGCACTGATTAATGAATGATTATAAAACTCCTTCTGCTCATGGGTTGTCTAATTGCCTAAAACCAAAACACCAAACTGTCTGAGGTCATGATTATGACATTTCAAATACAAATTCTACATACTACTCTTTTTAATGTCCACAGAAATCTCATGATCAGTCACAGTCATTCTAAACAGCTGGTGAGGCGGCTGGCTCTGACCTTGTGTCTGTCCTTGTACTGTGTTGTGTGCAGGTGTTGCAGCCTGTCTGCCACACTCGGGCCCTGACGCTGTGGACTGCTGTGTACCTGCCCACCTCCTCCCCCTGCACCGCTGTGGACGACGCCATGGAGCTCTACCTCTCTCCTAATGTGAACGGAGAGGAGCTCACCTCCCGCTCTCTGGACAGGTATCTTTGAGGCAGACTGCCATCTAGTGACACAAATGGAGAATTACTTTTTCTTCAACATTGATTCTCATTTGTATCCCTAACCTTACTCTTAACAGTTGACAAATTACATCAAAATGACACAGGAAATGTATGAAAGAAAACAAAAATCAGAAGAGATTTTTTTTAAACATACAATGTAGGGGCTGAATCTTAACATTAGTAATGTCACATTTTTATCTTCTGTTCAATGTAGGCTTCCGAAGACTCGCTCAATGGACAACTTGGTGTCTGCCTTTGAGAATGGAGCACCTCTTACCCGCACTTCCAGTGATCCCAACCTCAATAAGCATTGTCCTGCTCTGGAGTCCTCCTCTGCCGTCGGAGGGGCTTCTGACACCACCACACCTGACAGTGGCTTGGCCAATGGGGAGGAGGAGGCATACCTGCCCAGCTCCGCTGCCTCTCCAGAGGAAGGCCCACCTGAACCCTGCCTCACCACACAGCCTCTGCCCTGTGCTCCACTTCCTCCTGCTCCTATTATGAACAACATCACACCCTCTCATTGTCTCACTCCAATCCTCCAGCAAACCAAACGTGACACTGACCCACCACTTCCTGAGCCCCCAGCAGAGGGCGCTGTTTCCTGTAGGACTGAGCACACCACTACGTCCCCTCGTCACCAGACTGAGCCATGTTTACCTCTGCCCTGCAAAAGTGCACCACACACAGTTGATCGACCCCCGTTGGTGCTCACAGCCGATACACCCCCACCAATGCTCAACGCCCACACCAATGGTCACACTGAACCCCAAAGTGCCCCCCCAGAGTCTGCAGCTCTGCTCATTTTAAAGCAGCTCACTCCACTTCTTCCAATGGAGGACTCCACAGAGACGCTGACCGATGAGGGGGAGCCTCCCCACTTCACAGAACCCCACCTTAATCACCTAGTTAACACAGAGACTGAGACAAAGCCCGATGTAAGAACAGATGTAGTTAAAGGCAAGGAAGCCCCTGTGCTGCCTGACCTGTCTCTGCTGGAGCCTCACTGGGACAGTGTTCAGGGTTTTGTCCAGTCGGCCTGTGTGGGTCACTCCTCCATCAGTCGCTCTCTGCAGCCCGTGGCTTTTCAGAGCCGCCGCGTGGCCAGTAACCTGCTGCGCTCTGCAGCAGTGGCCAACGCAGTGCAGAGCTGCAGGAGAGAGGTGAACCTGGCGTCCTTCTCACTGGCAGCACTTCCCTTTTACAGCTCTCCATCCTGCTCGCCCTCTCCCTCGCAGATCCCCGCGTACCTCGATGACGACGGCCTACCTGTTGCCGTGGATGCCGTGCAGCAAAGGCTGAGGCAGATCGAGGCGGGATACAAACAGGAGGTGGAGGTGCTGCGGCAGCAGGTGCGACAGCTGCAGATGAGACTGGAGAGTAAACAGTACGGCAGTCCTCCCTCTGAGCCAGACATCGACTATGAAGACGATATTGTGAGTCACTGTTAAGTGCTTTGGGCTGTTTGCTTTTAATTACCAGGTTTTTTTTCTATTATTTTCCTCTGAATGTTTGTCATCCTTGTTTTTACAGACTTGTCTCCGTGAGTCCGACTACAGTAATGATGACGACTCCCTGTCCAGCCACAGTGAGGACCGCCTGTCTGAAGGGAGTTGGGACCGAGTGGAGCCCAAGGACACAGAGGTCAGAGGTCATTCTCAGATTTCTCTGCTCTTGTCTGTGCTGCACTATCCTCACTCATGTCTATCTGTGTAGGTCACTCGATGGGTGCCTGACCACATGGCCTCACATTGTTTCAACTGTGACTGTGAATTCTGGATAGCCAAGAGACGTCACCACTGCAGGTGCTCTTTCTGCTCTTTTCTTTTTCAAAAGATTCCATAGTATTTATACTATAATTACCTTATACCTTTTTTGAATACCTAAACATTAATTTAGTCCAAAATACAAAATGGACAAAATCTCAAGTCTGCTTAATCTAGAAATGTTTAACACCATTATGCAAATACATGACATTATATAATAATATACATGGCATTATACAGTATGTACAAATGTGTAACAAAAATATAATTTTTTCATCGTATGTGCTTGTTCCACAGGAACTGTGGAAATGTGTTTTGTAAAGACTGTTGCCATCTGAAGCTGCCCATTCCTGACCAGCAGTTGTATGACCCGGTCCTGGTGTGTAACCTCTGCCATGACCACCTGCTAGAGTGTCGTACCCGCGACATCCGCAGCCAACAGCTCAAGAAGGCCATCGCCACTGCTTCCAGCTGAAAGACTGCTCATGCAGAGTCTGGCTTCCTCCAGTGTCCATGGGACCGCTCCACTGCCACTCAGCCCTGACTGTGGCTGCAGTGGACTTTACTGTGCAGAGACAAAGAGCCTCCGTACTGAAGATGCACTATGAGACTGAACAGAGACGTGAATGAACTGAGGGACAGAATGATGCTATGATGCTAGCAGCAAGAGTTTCTCCAATGAAAAACTCTGTTGACGACAGTTTGGGCCTGGACAGCTCCAGTGTGTTGCTGTGAGGGTGACATTTGAACCATCTGCGTCCAGCTGAATTAGTTTTACACTTGAGGACAATCTGTTGTGGACTCCAAAGCCTTCAACCAGAAACAGGTTGTGTGGTTAAAATAAGAGTTGCTGCTACAATATTTAAAAAATAAAATTTTTTGTATTCTTATTTTGTGCACTACAACATATTGCGTATTTGAGCGAATTTGAGACCAAACTTGAGCAGAAGGGAGAAATTGCTGTTTACTTGTCCATTTTATCCTTTTTTTCTGGAAGCCTGAATGTAAAATGTCATGGGTTAACTGGATGTTGTTGTGCATTTTGATGGGTTATTTGTTCATTGCTACAATGTGTTTTCAACATTATGTGTACGCAGTCAATGTGGTCCTGTCTCTCAATGCTTTTCTTGTTAAACAAAGGTGCAACATTTTAAAGATAAAGAGCAGTTGGCAGGACTGGGTTATGCTGCGTCATGTTGTGCATCTGGGGGTTGATCAATGAAAACAGACTTTCCAACTTAAAAGTCATTTGGACATACAGAGGGTCTTTGGCAGATTTGTGATCAACGGCTCTGGCTTATTTTGAACTTTGGTGACCACCTGACTGAGGCCAGGCAGTTCACTCTGAAGACTGCTCAGATTTTTTTGAGGGGCTTCTCTTAAAATGTTTGTGTCTACTGGTCGTTTGAGACAATTGTGCCATATTTTGTCAGATGTTTTGTCTCTTTTAAGTCTTTGTTTTACAAAGATGGCAGTAGTTTTTTCCAATTGGGCACCTTAGTTCTAATCAAGCTGCTAAAACACAAACCAATTTAAGATTAACAATTAAAATGTGTGATTAACGTATTAGTTCATATTGACATAAGTCAAAATGTTGAAGAGAAACAAGATGTAACATAGTTCATTTGTAGTGCTGGCTAAAGCTTGTCACTTACTTGTTGTAAAGAATTGCACTGTTGAAACTGAATCCCATGGGTTAAAATTAAAGATTATATTATGATCTGGACGCCTCTCTTTGGATCTGCCTGCAGACACAAATGGTTTACGTGTTAGATAACAGTATATGTCTACACGAATTAATACACAAAGAAAAGACGCTGAGCAAGTGGTGTCTCAACGAACTGCTAAGACGATCCCCTCACAGCTCATTGAAATCTGCATTTTAGAAGTGTCGGTCCACTAGGGGGGGCTGGTGTAGTTCTAATGGCGCTCTCCTGTGGCGCGCCACTGTCACGTTTACCACACACTAAACCCAGACTTTGCATAATAAAGAAATGTGATGCGTAAATCGTTTTCACGTTAAGTGCTGTGTTCGTTCTCTTTTACCGCTGCCGTGCGCCATTTCCTTCTGCCGTTTAGAGCTCTGGAGTGAAACTCATTTGCATCTGTTAAAATTAGCACTCAGCTCCATGCTTAAGACTTGCAAATGCAGATTTGCAGTTTTGAGAACATATTAGTGCTGTTCCCACTCACAGTGTGAATTTTAACAGCTCTGGTCTTTTTTGAATAGGGATGTTTTTTTACGATTTCACACGACCTGCTTTGCATGAGATATTTAAAAAAAACTATTCCACCTAACCAGAAATACAAAAATAGCATTCGAAGATCAATTGGAGATCTCGGACTTTTACACATCATTGGGGCACAGTGCCATTCATCAGACATGTATGTCTACTGTGTCATCTAATAATACTTTTCTCTATTTATTAACCATATCAGTGTCTTATTGTATTAGATATTGTATTACACAATAAGTCTGCTTGTCTAATGATCAGAGGTACTGTTTGTTGTTGACCTGTGGATCACCACAACAGTGCAGGATAATAAAATGTGTCAGCAGATCTGACCAACTAGACTGATATATTCATGCATGCTTTTTTTTTTTTTTTTTTTTTTTTTTTTTGTGACTTTTATTATTTATTATCTGGTGATGCGTAATACCGCTTATTTACACATAATGGTGCAAGGCCTCCGTGCGTCGTGAGGTGAGGCGCTTTATTAGCCCAAAAAGGGGAGGAGCCTCTTCCACTTTTTTCTTTCCCATGGGGTGCGCTGATAGATAAGTAGAAGACCCCCTGCAAGAATGCGATCATATTGGAAACAACTGACCATTGTACCGAGTCCTTGCTCCGCCGTTTAAAGATGCAGCACCTGGTCTTCACTTTCGCCTTGCTGTCTTTTCTCGCACTGGCCACAGAGGCTGGAGGTAAGATACAATCATATTACATTTTGGGTTTCTAATTAGGTAATAACATTTTCAATTAACATCAGGGTTATTGGTAGAGGCATTGCTGTCTCACAAATGTAGCAATCTATAGTCTATATTTGGAGCAAAATAAGATTAATTGTGTTCCATAATTTCATAATGAATCGCAATCAGAGGTAGACCAGCAAAATTATATTTAGACTATAGGTTAGTTTTTAAGAAATTACAGAAAAAAGTTTATTTCTGCCAAGCATGCAAGCGATTATAACGCTATCACATTAAATTATAACGCTATACCCATCATGCTATATATCGGCTAATTTAATGTTTTAAACGAAAGCAAATGAATGAGACTCAGTGGAAAAGACAAAGACGCAGGCATTCACACCTGTGTTGTCTATCACTGGAAATGCGTAATAGTCCCTGGTCCACGTCCCACGGCGCAGTGAGCTGCCTTCATCACTCAGCGCAGATGAGACACTTGGGTCCGAGTGGAAAATAGATGAGGAGTGCGCGCGCGGTGATCTAGCGCGCCCGTGAAACTCCTCTGTGCTCCGTGTGCACCTGCTCAGCCACAGAGCTGTGCGCATAATCCTGTTTCCCACCGATCATCAGGCTTTACTGTCAAAGAGGCTGTTTCTTTTTTGGCATCATAACGGCTCGCTTGCATTGGCGTTTCAGCGTCTACCTCGCGAGCCGCACAGTCCTCCTTCATTGAGCCAGAGACGCGCTCACGTGGCTTCATTCTGGTGTGTTTAATGCGCCGTTCATTGCTCATTCACAGAGCGCAGAGGAAACGGAGAGATGTCCCTTTCTCCCGCGCGTCGTGGGGAAGACATGCAAACAACAGCACTTTTTGAAGGGTGCTGAGAGACACGTAACATGCGTAATATGCTACTTAGCTTCCCCAGAATTAAATTATGCTGAACTCAGAAACAGACTTTGAGTGACGTGGAAATTCTCTTTCTTTCGTGATGATTTTATCGGGTTGTGTCTGGCTCCCCACGGCGGCTTTGAGACAATCATTCAAAAGAGCGCGTATTCATTGCACGGAAGCGCTAGTTTGTTTTCATTTCGTTGGCTTTTGTTTCTTGCCAATTTCCTCGGTTTTTGTCCTCATGTCAGGGTGCTCTGACATCGAAGCCCATTCATATACGCCGGTTTCCACGAGATCAAAGCGAGGCGCTGATTGGCCACGAGTTTTGCGGATAGAGATCTGATTGGTTAGATTTAGAATACAGAGAAGCACTTTCCCAACTTTTTTTGTAAAACGAAGCGGCACTGCTCAGAAACATACGAACTCCGCAGGTATCAAGATTTTATGGGCCCCGGGAGGCAGAAGTGAAGTTAGAAATGATTAGTAAGCAACGGGCCATTCATCTAAGAGACGACTTTATTAAACGCTCTTGGATTAGCCCACTACCCTCTCAAACCACTGTGGTAAGACTAGAGTGGCCACCTCAAATGATAGAAAAAGAGGGACACGTTGCTGAATGTAGGGACACTGAAGGATGAACTCTGGACATTTAAGTTCATAGATAATAACTGCAATAACACCATATGAATTCAGTTTTTATCAAGCTGTGAGGCCAGAGTGTTAGTCATTCAGCATACTCCTTACCATTAATAATCAGTCAAAGCACAGACCACAGAAAGCCTGGAATAGCAAAAGATGCCAACATTTATCTGTGAACGACACCTAAGTACACCCAAATAGTCTTGATTTATTTGCGGGGAAAAATATATAGGGTACTACAATACTAGTACAGGGACCTAAATGGCTGTATGGGACAACTAAAAGAGGCACCAGGGCATGTATCTGTTTTATCAACAGTGTTTGTTTTTATTTTCAGTATTTGAGTTGTGATTAAGAGATAGTTGACGACAGACTTCTTCTAGCACAGTGTGGAAATGCGCAGACCTGTTGTGAAATATTGATAAAGCCAATATCCAAACTTTGCAGAATGTGACAACAGTGATACCAAACGTGGTGCCGTTTACTCTGTATCACAAACAGATAAGATAAGGCACAGCGTTTGCACGTGAGCGTAAATACACTGCTTACATGTTTCTTGCCGTGCCTGGAATCATTGATAACCTAAAAAGACCCCTGTCATTAAAGGGTGCATGTATAAAAGAAAAGAAAATCTATTATGTCCTTAGTTTAACTGGCACAAGTGAGCATGGCACCCAGGGGTGGAGACTGACACATGTACAACACATGTCAGACATATCTTTCATATTTACTGTTAAAATCGATGTGTAGAAGTTGTAGGCAACAGTGAAGTCATGGGTTGTTTTTGTTTCAGATTGGTGTTACCAGTCCCAGTTCACCTGTGATCATCAGTGTAACAGTAAGTATTTCATTCTTTTTTTTTTATTTCCCTTTGTTGGCTAAATGGGTCAGAACAGACATGATCTTTGTTTCAGCACCAGATAAATGGAATCATGCCAACAGTGACTGTGCCGGCAGCTACCAGTCTCCCATCAACGTGGTCACCAGGAAGACTCTAGTAGACGAGCGCCTCACGCCTTTCAAGTTCACCAACTACCAGCAAATCTTCAAAGGCTACATTAAGAACAACGGGCACTCAGGTCAGCTCCCGCTCGTACTGTGTATTAAACTGAAATCCAAATAATCCTGTGTGACATGCAGTGTTTATGTACCCTTTAGTCCAGGTTGAAGTTCCTCACCTTAGCACAATCTCGGAAGGAGGCCTTTCCACCGCCTACAAAGCTGTGCAGTTCCACCTGCACTGGGGCAAGAATGGAGGGCCAGGCTCAGAGCACACCATCGATGGGGAACAGTATCCCATGGAGGTAGTTTCCTGTAATATAATACATAACATTGGGTGGATATTAACAATCATGCTAAACATATTTTAATAACAAATATTATGTATATCTTGTCCACAGCTGCACATAGTACACATGAAGCACCATTATACTGACCTGTCCACAGCCCTGGCAGACTCAGAGGGAGTGGCAGTTCTTGGCTTCTTCTATGAGGTTTGCACTTTATCAGTTACATCTGTAAAGTACTGTAAAGAAATAGTGTTTGATGATAAGATTAACAACAGGGTCATTTTTTTACTTCCAGAAATCAAACAGTGCAAACCGAAAATATGACCCCATCATTAATTCTATTCAGAAAATTCAAGCAGCTGGTAAGTTTATCATTTATTATATGAACAACATGAATATGAATCAGAACAGTGATATAAATGTCCATGTTTGTTTCAGGTGGGAACACCTCTTTGCAGGCTGTGTCTCTGGCTCAGCTCATTCTTCCAGAGCAGAACTTGACCAGTTTCTACAGATACAAGGGCTCCCTGACCACTCCAGGATGCACCCAGTCTGTGGTCTGGACTCTGTTTGAGAACCCCATCCCCCTCAGCAGTGAACAGGTGACTTATCCATCTCACATACAGAATATATGACTCCATAATGACTCCATAAAACACATGACTCAAATCCTTGTATTCCTGCTGTTGTAGCTGAGGGCTTTCTCCAACCTGAAGTTTCATGATGGCAAATCAATGGTGGACAACTTCAGACCACTGCAGCCTCTGAATGGGAGGCAGGTGTTTCGTTCTGGTGCAACTGTGGCTTTGGCCAGCACAGCTCTCCTCATGGCTGCTCTGGCCTCATCTCTGGGAATGTCCCAACTCAACTAGAGCAGGACCCGCTGCGCTGCAGCATCTACAGACACTTTGATCATCCATTCATCAGCTGAACTTTGGTTTGTTACATATCGCATGGTTGCTATGATGAATAACCTCATTGTATGAGCATGAGCAGCGTGTGCTCGCCTATGACGCACATGACAAAGGTGTTAAAGTGCGCCTTACGAACAGTGTCATACCTGGAGTACCTGTGCATGCTGAGTGACGCAGTATGAATGTGCCATAGATAGGGACACAGACAGCTGAACTCTAAAGCACACCTAAGCTGTGCTCACAGTACCACCCCAAACACCAGCACCTTCAATGTCAGGTAAATATAGTCCCGCTAAAGTGGCTAATGCCGCTGCTGTGAGTGCCACAGATCTGTGACCTACTCATGAGGCACTGCGTGATAGTCTCGTGAACAACATTAGGCTATTAATAGTAAACAGCGGTCAAAAGTGTCAGTGATTTGGTTGTGTTTCAAAGTCCAGGTGTAAAGAGCACAGGGCCACACAAACGACAGGCAGCAGGTCTGTATGTGGAGCAGTGGGCACATTTCCACCTCCACACCAGTCTTTAAGTGCACAACCTCTGCATCCCAGGTGACACTGCACTGACACCTGAGCCCAACCATGACCAAGCAGAGATGCTAACAACAGCTTGGGCAGAGCACAAGAAGACATAAGCACTTTTCAAATACGCCACTGTCCCTTTTTAGTCTTTATGCATCACCAGTCAGCTGTTTTAATACGCTCAACAATGCTAAACGTTTGGACCAATGACCCCTCTTAACCAGATGGTGTGTGTTCATGGCTTATAATACAGGGTCCCGAATGCACTGAATGTTTTTGACTGTGAACCCCACTCCAGTCCTCCCATGTATATTGTGGGGGTTAGTTGTAAGTATTCTAGTATTGTGCAATCTACCAGCAGGATACAGTATATATTTTCCATTGTCTCTTGGCATTGTAATCTTTATGCTGTGTAACTGAACACATGTATTTATGAACTGAATGTGTATGGATTTGAGATGCACAATGTTATTTATGTTTTGTTTAAATTATATTGAATGCATATATGAAGAAATGATCTGACCAATCACATTCACTCTTCAAGTACAAGTGCAGATGATAGCCATGTGTGTTTACTTGAAAGTGTCCAAGAATGTGTCCTAACTGAACAATAAACAACTTTGCTTTTTTAAAATTGTTGTAATTAATGTTTTAAGAATTTTCCAAGTCCCATTCACTCAGATTATCTTTTTTATTTTCTTCTTGATCTCCACAGATAAGAATGTGAACTATGTGAGCTTCACTTGATCTCAAGCTTTTAATCCCTTTCTAATTGATTTGTTCTTTATAAGACTTAGCCCACTTTGGCTACAGTTCACTAGTGCCAATTGCAGTATCATATGCATGAATGGCAAGGGAATTGCACCCTCAACACTTCAATCGTGTTTTCAAGTCACCTGTTTTTACCAGCACTATTTTCAAGCTGTTAATTGATGGTCTGCACCTTCTCAGAAATAAAGGATTGAACCCAAAGAATTAACAAAAGCCTGAATGAATACCTCTCTCCCTCCCTCTTCTTCCCTTCCCTTAAAGTTCTTTTAGTATGTTAATACATCCCCTGCATCCAAAGGTACCACAAGGGCTCCAGAGAGCTTCAAAATTGGCAGTGTTGCTTTAGTTCACACTAGTCAGAGCCAGAGTTACCCTGGTTACTCTGGTTGGTTTCCCTCAAATGCCCCCAGGACACCGGGTGTGATGGACAAAGACCACTATTCTCTGAGGGTAACGCTACATAAGCATCTTTGAAACATGCCTGGAGCCCATCAGACACACCGCAGTTTAGGGGGCCAGACTTTGAGCAGGTGGAGAATACCAAACTCTTATGCATAGCCCTATGGCCTCTGTATAAGTGATGCTCCTACAAACATGGTGTCCATATAAACCAATAGAAGATCTATATTTCACTTTAATGGTCCTCAGCATTAGACCCATCTTTAAATGTTGCCAAGCCACCCTGTCAGGAGCAGAGAGCACTGCAGTGCCCCACCCTGGGACCCATCATCAGATCTTGAGTTAGGCCTGGCCAGGACTACTTTATCTGAAAGTAGTGCTGTGAGCTAAGAGTGTTTGCCATTCAGCAACACGCCTTACCATTACTAATACTACTAATACTTATTGCAAGTATCCCCTATTTAACTGCCCCAGTGACAATGGCAATATCATATGAGCTACTTGCATGGAATCTATGAACAATTGATACCAACCATTCAGAGCTTCAGTGTTTGTTAAAATGTTTTTTGGTTTGTTTTGGTTTGTTTTTTTTACAGTAAACTCAAGCCGTGTAACCTTACTGCAAAGTCATTGGTTTGAACTTGGCCTGCCTTCTGCCTTAATAATGTTCTATCAGTGACACATCTGTTAGAGTTGAGCTTAAGATGTCATTATTCCAAGGTATAATGACATCTAAATGAACCAAGGGTAGAAAAGAAGATATTGCATTCATTTCCTCCTAAGTGAAAGTGATGCGACATAGGAAACAAAAGTTGCTTCATCTTTTAGCCTACAGTAGATTTAATTCAGTGGAAATGACACAACACTGTAAAGCACCACTAATGTCATTGAGAGTCACTTATCACAGAGACACAGTCTCAGCTTTAAGCTTAAGTTTCCCTTCAGCCACAGGTATAGGCCAATATCTTGTCATTTAAGCACAGCAGTGGACACCAATTTACAGCAACACTGTAATAGATCATCTAAAGCTTTTTGATCTCACACAAAGGAAACAATTAAGTCACTACATTTGCTCAACTCAAAGACCTCTGTATTTGTTTATAGCGGAGGTCAAAGGTTGTCATGCTCAGTTCAGGACAGTGTTCTGTTCGTGTGTGATTGTGTGGTGGTCAATGGCTCAGTGATCCTGGGGGTCTTGGACACAAGTCTACTGTTGGGGAGCAGTCACAAAGGAAAACATTATGAGGTTAACCCACAAAAGTATAATTTGATCATATTACATATTACAGTGGCTAACCACTCTAAGTCCTCTAATGAACAGTAGCTTTGGCAAAGTGATCAGGATCAGTCTGGGGCAAAGCCATGTGCACTAACTCAGATTATGGAAGGAACAACACTGAGTAACTTTTATCTTAGGTCTCTGTCACAATGGACACCCCTGGCCTGAAAATCTAAATATAAAACCTGTGTACATAGTGGAAAATACATTAATAATTATATGAAGCTTGTGGTGAATGGCTCCACCTACTTTAAACAGGAAAGAGGTTAGGAGATGGTCAGCTCGATAGAACAAGGGTTTCAGGAGGTCTCAGGAGGTGGAAACTCAGTGTCTATTTTTGACAACAATGCCTCAAGGCAGCAGAGGCATCATGGTCCTGAAGATAAATGTCATTCAATTGAGTTTTGTTATGTATCTATTGTCTGAGAATATTGATTTTATATTAAACTCTATTGCACTAGACCACTGATCATAAAGTCCCTTTGTCAGAAAGGTATGGTACTTTATTTATCCTTCCTGATGGAAATTCACTCCTTGCATTTGATCCACCCTTCAACCAGAGTCTCAGAATGGGGTCACCTGTTAGAAGCAGTGAGCTACTTCCATACATGTGCTCATGGGTAATTAAACTCAAAACCTTCTTGTTGTGAATTATATGTGTCAAGTAAATATTTTGGCAAGCTCTAAAGTCCTAAATAAACCAGGAAGTTGAATGATGACTGCCATCCTGTTACATTACGCACCAAGAAACTACATAATAAAACCTGTTCTTTTGAAACTGCATTGCAAAACCTACACCGAAAATCTGACTACACAATCAATGACTAGAATGTCCTTAAATTTCGCCTAACCCCAATGTTGACTTTAAAACCATAAAAAGGCAGTAAACTACATATTACTGTATATACTTTGAACTTTGTATTTTTTTTAAGCTGAAAAAAAAAATTTACATTCTCATAATTTGATACCTGTATAATCAGATCCACCATTTATGAAAAGTATTAATGTTAAAGTGAAACCCACAACTTTTCACAAGTGCTGGAGTATAAATAAATACACAAATGAACACAATATTATTATGTATTTATTTATTTATTTTGGTTAACATACATCTTTGATCTTGCACTATCTACATTTTCTGCTGTCTTCATGGAAATTAGCATATTGGCATATACTCAGTTAGTTGTTTTATTTCTAAGCAGAACTTTGAAAAACATGAATGCACTTGCTTTCCAACAGATCTGACTTGTAGTTGAAGATTGGCCTTATCTGCTCATCTCTGTGGATTTAATGCCATTCACTGGAACATTTCAGGCAAAGTCATAACATCTCCATGGAGGCAAGCAGGTGTTGAACCTTCTTCCAGAAAAATGTAAATATGTTTAAGCTCCATCCTTTACACAGAAGGTCTGTGGGATGGCCCCTTCATATCTGACCTCTCCTTATGTGTGAGATATTCCATATTTTGTAATTATTGTTGCACCTCTCCTCAATGTCTCCTGGTGAATCCTGTCTACATTAGTGATCTGAGATCAGACTGATACTTAAACTCACCTTATCATAGAGCAGACTGGTCAGGTTCTGGTGCCACTCACCCCTGACGCCTCCACACTAGAGGAAAGAGAGAGGAAATATTTAGAACTTCCAACTCTTTATCTCCCTGTTGGTTTGCATTCAGCAGCTTGTCATTCACAAAGCCACAATAAACTCGTGAAAGGAGCCCATTTCTCAGCTGACTGCGCGTTACAGCTTTGTGTGTACGGCAGCTCAAGGTGTGGATCATATTCGACTTCTTCAATTTTACGCTGAATTAGACACTCTAGTTTCAAAGGGAGCGCTGCCACAGGAATTGGAGGATAGCATTACTTAGGTGTGTTTTTGGCCAAGTCATTAAAGCCAAAAAATGCTTAATGGGTCTATATGTATTTATAAAGCATAAAAAAACAAAATGAAAATGCAAAGGACATGTATTTAACAACTGCAGATGTAAGAGAGAGATGTAAAGAATTATGATATGTCAATTATGCCTAATTAGAATATTGAAGAAGACAAGGACAAGGGTTTTGCTAAATGGTCCATTCAAGTTTTGTGCGATACTCAAAGGTTCTGTATTAAACAAAATTGACTTATGTGAGGTTCAAGCCAATGTTACAACATTGTTACCTCATCAAAAACATATCTGGAGTTGTTTTGTTTTAGTCATATGTTTGAGTAACTCTTTATCATTAATCTGTCTACCTCTCGATAACCTGGCATTTCCAGAGCTATCCAAATGATTCTAGTGAAGGTGAATGAAGTTTAAAAACACAGCGGAGCACACTCTGTATCACCACATGACATCACATGGTGGGGTGTTTTCAATTTGAGAGAAGAACTCAGATATGCAGGACTTCAGATATGTTTTTGATGTGGACACAATATTGTAACATAACATATAACAATAATACAACATCAGAAAATAAATATAATATCATAAACATCACCCAAGACAGCCACATTTTAGCAAATTCTTGCATTCTTAAAATATTGTTTGAATACTGTTATCAAGATTATGCAAAAAATAAATATATAAATTAAAAAAATCTTGAGATATAGGTTTCTGTCAATATCGCCTACCCCTACCACTGCATCAGAATCATAGCCAAAACAAGGTGACTAGTCAACAGTACGTCCTCTCAGATATCAGCTCCATTCAGCTTTTTGCCTGTGTCCTGGAGGGGCATCTCCTTCCCTGCATCTGCTGACTTTGTGCTGAGTCAATAAAAGGGCAACTTCAAAGTTATCAGCCTTCAAAGTCTATAACCCCCAAAACCAGACATATTTGTTTGTGTGGGATGAGCTCCTATTGGCTGCCCCAGTTCTGCCCCAGCTCTGCTCTGAAAATGACAGCTCACATAAACATCAACATAATATAACATAATACGCATAAACTGATTTTCACAGTCTGCAAATGCTAGGATTCAGTAACAGTGTAGTTTAGAGACCGCATTTTAATGAGTGAGTAGTAGTAATTGGCATATTAAGTACTTAATTCGATTTTTGTTAGTGTTTTTAAAGTATGCACTATTGTTTTATTTTGTATTTAACAACTTTTTAAAGGTACTTTACATTTTCTGACAGAGTGTCTGCCACTTGCATGTCTTGATGGAGATATGTAAGTGGCAGACATTCTATAGATACTTTGT